TGACAGGGCAGTTGCAGCAAAACATTGTTTCAATTCTGATAGCAACCTGTAGAATAAATAAAAATCATTGTGTAAGCACCTGAAATTTCTAAATTTAGGCACTTTTTCAGATAAAAGCTCCACCTGTGTCATCCACCTAAAGGAAATGTATTTCTCAAACCAGAAGCACTGGCCAAATAATGCCCTATGTTAAATGTCATCATAGGATATTTTAGTTAGAGTGTCCTTAATTAGAGTGTTAGAAAGAAACCACATCGTTTTCATGCATATAACTTTCCAGTTTTTCCAGTAGAAATCATACTGTCTGGAGTCCACAGGAGGGCATCACTGCTTAAGAGATCATAAAAAAGACATCTGAACAGTCCCTTTCCAGCACTAGGCTTCCTATGCTACTATATATTCTGAGTAAAAGATTATACAAAATAAGTTATTAAGGAATTGTTTATATGAATTTTTATCACTAAAGAAACATACTCTTGTGCTATTCTTCAATGAGTCCAAACTGCCAAGACAGAAAAGGAACAATGAAGTTTTGGAAAAGAGCATGAGGGGCAATAGAAGAACATTAGTCACAAGTAGCTCTTATAAATATTTTACATAAACCTTCATATAAACACAAAAATCGTATTCTTTTACCTTCATATAAACACAAAATCATATTCTTTTAACTTACCCACAGGAGTCCTTCTTGCAGACATTTTGCTGAATTAGTTCTGCATTGACTATAACACCATCTTAGCTACACTTCATCCAGGTTTTTCTAACTGTGCATAGGTGGAACAGTTGGGAATATGGGAGATCAACGATAATTTCCCACATCACCCTGAGATCTGCACACATTCAGGCAAGGGTTTTTAATCTCATCATTTCAAAGAGATATTATTAGGCTTTTGCAAGTCCCACTCTTAGCCAGACCAACACCTCAGGCAGTGAGTAATTGTGCAGGTCATAAGAAGACATTTTGGGTAAAACATCCAGCAGCACCAGAAGCTTCCCCATCCTGGCACCTTGGTTTAGCTACAGGTGTGAAAACTTGTGGAAGATCTACAGCTGTTTTTGAGAGAGCTCTTGCCTTTTTATCAAAGGTTTATCTTTCACTCTGTTCAGCTGTTTTTACTTTAATCTGCATGAACATCAAACCTCTGATCTTACTTTGGAGATTCTAATGAATTAGCGCTGGTTGGGAGAGGGGTTTTTGTTGAAAAAGACTGATTAAAAAGCACTGAGAGGGAACTGGATAGTCCTTTGTCTCCCTAAAGTTTGAACATGACACCCCTCAGGATAAAAATATCTCCCCTGTGTGAATTCTGATGGGGAATAAAACACTCCCCTCTCTTGTATCTGCTTAATGCAAAATAAGATATCTACAGATAAAAAGGTAACTACAGAATAACCCAGAGGAACTATTTCTTCAGTAAGTGGTATCAAAGTTTATCTACTGAACAAAATCTTCCCTGAGCTCTTTGTAAGGGGAGTTTGCTGAAGAGAGAAACACACCTTTGTGAAGGGTGAAGTGGGAAGTCATCGGAGAATTGAATTTGCATCCTTTTCTTTGGACTTACATTACATTTTTCCTTAAATCCTGCCCTCCCTCCTCTTGCCTCTGAAGTTCAATTTCTCTTTCCCTCTTTCATCTTTTCACTCTTCTGTAATAATGCTTGATTTCCTTTCTTCCCTTTCCTAAAATTTTATATAAAAGCTGGTCATAATTTGAAGTGATAGGATGAAAGTAAGGCAGCAAAATATGGTCTGAAAAGTCAAGGTTCTTGTGAAGGATCAAAGAACATAGCAATGCTGTGACAGATGTGAGAGGGGAGATCTTTCACTGAATCTTAGTCCAGGATCATAAGTTTTGCCAAGGGAAGACCTGGAGCCAGCAGCAATCTCAGCCACACTCTGATCTTTCTCATCTGCAAATCTTTCATTATGTATTTTCCAGTTGAATTAAAATCTACTTGCTTTTTATTTTTTTTCCCTTAGCTATTCCTGGCCTCCATCTATTTCTCATTCCACAGAACCTCTGTAGGGTGGTTTTGTGGAGCTTTTGCATGACTGACATTTAGCTTTGTTTGAACACAGCAGGCAGAGTTGTGCCATGAAGCTCAGTAAGTACCTGCCTGGAATTAGCTGTAAGACATCCGTGCTATTCAAGAAATTTTAAAATGAGGTGGTGGGAAGTGAGCCTTCCAAGGCACAAAATAGCAATCTAGAATTCATATTTTGAATTCAGAAAATCAAAACTGCTATTACAGTTTGAAACATGCTGGAAAATTGAAACAGATTAACAGGAAAAACCTTTTGATTATATAAGTATTTCTTAATTAACAATTAGGACACTGAAAGATGTCATGGCATGAGAACAGCAGGGTTTGGTGCTCACAGTGTTGTTATAAAAAGACTGTAGAATGGGGAAAAAACAAACCAGAGATACACTTTATCATATTCCTCCCAAGTCTGTGAGCTATTGAAATAATTTATTTTTTGGCAGAGATCACTTTGGGTAAAAATCAGCTGGAGAAGTTCTGGAAAGATACAAAGAATTGAATCAGGATTTGGAAAGTGGAATCTATTATAAAATATGAATTAACACAGTCACACTCCTATTACAATTACTCACATATCTTATCTCTTTTTCAGTGAGAACAGTGACTTGGCTGACCCAAAAAATCAAGATGCTAACCTTCCAGCCAGGGAGTATATCCATCTCCATCTCTGTGCCAACTGAATAAGGTCCAGAAAATAGCCAACAGTTCGTGGCATGACATAACTTTAAAAATGAATATGCCATTATAAGTAACTCATTTATAGTTAAATCAGATTTTCAAACAGTTGACTTTTCATTCTAGGCATGAGCTAATTGAGAATCAGAATTAAGAATCAGAATGAGGATGTTGTAAAGCAGTCCTCTAGAGCTATGCAGTATAATGGAGTGAAACCTAAACCCTGGGTAGTGAACACGAGTGATTTTTGTGATAATTTTTTTCCAATTAGGAAAAAAATTCTGAATCATGGAGCAGTGCTCAGACTTACACATACGCATCATTGGGGAAAAAATTACAGTGCATACTTAGCTAATATTCAGATGTTGCTAGTTTGGTCACATTAGAAGCTATTTACTGAAGATCCCTTAGCAGGGTGTTGATCTCTCCACAAAACAGGGAAATGTGCAGGGACTGTGTTTTTCCTCCATCAGAGCACATTATCTTACTTTCCTGGCATTAACCGGCACATCTGACACTAACACAGGAGATTTCCAATTATTCTTGTCTATTTTTCTAGGCCTCTTTGAAGTGCTATAAGGAATAGTGCTTATTAGGAGGAAATATTCCAGGAGAAAGACTTGGGGGTGTTGGTTGACAAGAAGCTCAACACGAGCTGAGAATGTGTGTTTGCAGCCCAGAGAGGCAAAGGCAGCAAAGGCAGCAATGAGGGAGGGGATTCTGCCCCTCTGAGACCCCCTCCTGCAGTGCTGCCTCCAGCTCTGGAGCTCCCAAGGTAAGAACTATGTGGATCTGTTGGAGTGAGTCCAGATGAGGCCATGAAGATGCTCCAAAAGCTGGATGCTCCAAGTAGCTCTACTATGGAGCCAGGCTGGGAGAGCTGGGGGTGTTCAGCCTGGAGAAGAGAAGGCTCTGGGGAGACCTTGGAGCCCCTTCCACTGCCTAAAGGAGCTCCAGGAGAGCTGGAGAGGGACTTTGGACAAGGGCCTGGAGGGACAGGATGAGAGGGAATGGCTTCACACTGACAGAGGAAAGGGTTAGATGGGATATTGGGAAAAAGTTCTTCCCTGTGAGGGTGGGGAGGCCCTGGCACAGGTTACCCAGAGAAGCTGTGGCTGCCCCATCCCTGGAAGTGTCCAAGGCCAGCTTGGATGGGGTTTGGAGCAACCTGGGCTAGTGGAAGGTGTCCCTGCCCATGGCAGGGGGTGGAACTGGGTGATCTTTAAGGGATAGAACCCTTAACACTCTGTGATTCCATGACTCTTCAGAGGTGTTACAGGTCACTGAACCAGCTCTTGGCTGATCTGCTGTTAAAGAACTCTTTCACCTGGGAAGCTGAGAAATTCCACATCTGTACTAAATCTTGCTTTCTGAGGAAGGGGCTGCACCAGGAACAAGCACTTCTACACAGCTACATGAGAGAAGCAACTAAGCAACAGCAAAAGTTTAGAGTGATCAACCACCAGCCAAGACTCCTGCTGGGCAAGGAATCATGTAAATGCCAAAGCAAAAGGAGAACTCGAAGGACTGACATACTAGAGAATTTTTCACAAACGCATTGTTGTCAGTGCAACAGAAGTTACTACAAACTTAGACTTCAAAAACTGTCTATTATGGTGCTTCACCCATCACTTAATACTGAGCACTTTAGAAACAACATGATCATTGATAAAAAGCAAACACGATTCTGGTATCCATTAACCTGTTTTGCAAACAGACACTCCAGCATTTGACTGAAAACAACGTACCACGATCCCTCCTACCCAGCCATAGGTCCCACTCAGCATACACACCTTTGACATCAGGCTTGAGCACACCAGGAGCAGCTACACCCACAGGCCTCTGATGCTGGATGTGATCTAACTCACATCCAGGTTACAGCACAATTAAATCCACACTAGGCAGCAGGTTGATGTGCCCATAAAACCAAGGGATCCCACTTTAAACACTCCAGTTTTTCCGCAGATGAAGGACTGCACAGAGTTATACTGGAAACAGAGGCGTATGTCAATAAGCAAATTGACCTTTGAAATTTTTAAATAGAATCAGAACATCTTTTAATTTTGTTGACTTATTCCCTTTATAAACACATAATGCATTTTTATGGCTTGTTCTGACGCCTATCTTGCACACTGCATGTTCAAGTCCTGATTCACTTCCTTGGGTTACAGTACAACCAGAAGCAGAATTTCTAAAGTACTTTGGCAAAGCTTTGTTTTTGTAGTATTTTTGACATAACCAAAACCAGCAAGTTCTAGAAATGCTTTAGAAAAGCATTGATTGTATTGTAGCATTTTTGGTTAAAATGTCAGAACTGCCAGACCACACCTAGAATAAAAAGCAATGGGCTAAACTAAAGAGAAGGAAGTTTTAGGGGGAGGTGTTAAGGAGTCTTCCTAACAGTAAATTAGGCTCTTGAGTACCTAATGTAGGATTACCACAGATGGTTAAAAAACAGGCTGGACGAATACATCACAGATAGAAATATATGAGAAGCAGGAGGTTTGTCTGGGGATGACAGAGGCTCCTCCACCCCATCCCTAGTTTCTGCAAATACAGTAGCATGACAACCAACAATATTTCCAGATAATTAGTTCTAAACAGCAGTTTCATCAGTATTGCTCATCCCAACAATCCTACTACTGCTTTTCAAAAATCATTCTCTCAAAAAAACACAGATTGAGATATTAGGGCTTAAGTGGACCCAGGTACTAATTCAAGAGTTTATACAGCAACTTACCACATCCTAAGAAAAACAGTTCCTTTCCTATCCCATAAATGTCCACTCTAAATATTTAGTAGGGAAACACTGAATTGAATACTAATATTTGTAAATAAGTGACTGCAAAATATATGAACTTTTACTGGAAAAACAATAATAAAAATAATGCCCCTTTTCACCATGTGCTAATGCAATGTGCCATGCTTTGCTTTTCAGGAATATTTTTGTATCTGTGGAGTATAAACTAAAATATCAATTTATAGTGAAAATCTCATTATCTTAATTACAATAAGGCAAATGATACACTTAATAGGGTGTGCATGCTCTTTCCAAGCAGGTTCATGTACAGTCATATCAGTTCAGAAAGCAATATGCCATCTGCAGATATTTATATATGAAATCCAACATAGGGAAAACATTTGTACTACAGAACAGATTAAATAATTGAGAATGAAATTGCAAGATAAGGTGTTTGACAAGGTGGAGGGAAACTGCACAGTGGAGGAAAATCCATCCCCATGACTACTGGTCCTTCCTCCTCCCTGCTCACTGCTGTTCGCCTCTTCTTGGATTCCAGAGCTTGTTTTATTCCTCAGCAGCCTTCCTGCAGCCTGGTGGATTCAGCACACTTGGAAATTGTGGATCTGTGGTTTGTTTCAGGAAGAGAAGAAGGGAGAGTTTAAGTATTGCTTTAGCAGCAGATGGCTTTGCTCCGGATTCTGTTGTACACAAAGAAGATGTTTTTGCTGGCTCTGTAAGCACAAAAAGGGAAGAGGAAAATTGTTAAAGGCAGTGTGGATATGACTTGAATTTTTCAGCAGGTAAGAAGTCAGAAAATCTGTAAAACTCTGGCAAAAGTTACTGAAATATATCTTTTAAAGCATTATTTTCTTTTGTACCTCCTATATTTAAAATTTAATGGGAAATTTCCTCCACATGTTGTCTGTGCAATACTTTGGAACTTAATTAACAATGTTTGTAATTGAAACATTTACTGGTCACCTTGAAGGGATGGGACTATTCATCTTTATCACAGGTAAGCAAATACTAAGGAAAGAAAGCCTTTTTAAAACTCATTTTATTTTAAACCTTTCTTTTGCTTAGGAACATTTCAGTGATGTTTCTGCAGACAGGAATGAAACAACTAGGCTGAGGGGTCTCTAACAGCTTATAGTGTTAAACTCTCACTATGGTAGAGAATCTTTTTAAAAATGCATGAATTAGAGGTTGAAGTAATTAGTTCTTTCTATAAAACACTTCAATTCTGATATCAGCTGTAGCTGTGGTTCAAGGACACTGATTCCACATTCTCTAACATTTTTTAGCTTTAGAAATGCCAGTATTTATTACAATATAGTTCAACATTCAGTAAGTATTAGAGTAACTTATTTTTTTTAATTCTATGAATATTCCAGTTGTTTAACAAGACAGGTGTAATGGTTTTATTGCCAAGGAAATGTTTAAATTGCCTTGCAGAATGGCAGGTACTGCACTTTTTAACTCCCAGCACAAACCAAACAGTGCAAAGTAATTACACTTTTTCCTGAGAAAAGGACAGTGCAGATGGAGAGTGTGCCTAAAACTGATGTAGTGAGTGAACTGATTAGGTCAGTACAGAGACTTTTCCCAAATGCCAAGGAAGCCCTACCAGCCACCCTGAATCCTTGGGAGAGGACATTCAGCACTTGCTATCAAACTGTGGGGTGCAACCATGGATAAATAAGCAAGCTTAGCAAATAGTGCATAAAATATTACAAACTTGGCTCAGCCTCATGGCCTTTGAGCCCCCACAGCTTCTCCTGCTCACATAAAAAGCAGGGAAGAGCAGAGGTTGTCTCTGAAGGGATCTGCTCCCAGGCCAGTTCCCCTGCTGACACCTGACCTCTTCTCAAGGGCCAGGGCTCAGATCTGTGCCAGGTGACCACCACAGGCAGTGCAAAGGGAAGGACCACCCTGGGGGCAAAGCAGCCAGACTTTGGACCCTCACACTTCTCCAGTGGCAGCAAAGCTCATCGGGGCAACAGCTGCCACTGTTGGTGGTAAATGTACCATTTACTGCCTCTTGCTCTCCCAGCACATTCATCCCTCAGTGGGACAAATCCAGCCAGGCAATTAGTGCTGCTCCAGGGAAAAGTGGTTCCTGCAATCCAGGAAAGAGGGGCTGTTGCCCAGCCACTGGGTGTGACTGTGCTCGATCCACAACCCCTGTCCCTGCTCCTGGACTCATTAGGAGAACAGTTTTTGGAGGCTGGAGCACACATAGTCAGGTACCCAGCTCTTGTTCTTGCCCTGCTGGAGCAGGGACACCTGCAAGGGACTACAAAATCTATCTGAGCCACCAGACTTGAATGGCTTTTGCAGAATGATTGTGCAGGTTTCCATGCCATTCCCTCAATATAGCTGTAACCAAGCCAAGTGCATTATTTAGGGAGACTACAGGGTTTAATGCCAGCCCTGACCACAAATTGTCATATTTGGAACACCAGGGCCACATAGAGTCACATAAATCTACAGCCACTTGCTGGTTGAAAGGGATATTTTAATCAGGATGAGAGTGGTAATAGATGCTCCAAAGGTGGTTGTGTTGTCTTTTGTTTGGGTTTGGGTTTTTTTTTTTAGAATCTTAATTTGAAGCATCCAAACTTACGTCAAGCAGAAGTATCAGGATAAAGCAGTCCAGGATAAAGCAGTCCAGGATATAACTCTGGCTGGAATATTCTTTGAGTCTCTGGGGGCAAGCAGCTACAGAATCATTCCCATTTTAACCCTGGATTTGGTGTTTAATTTTGTGCACGCAAGTAAAACTTTTCTTTTATTCCTTAGTGATTAGATAATGGCAATCATTTCTATGACAAGGTTGACAAATCTTTTACACATAAGCAAATTATTTCTAGTAACAATAAAACATCCGCCTGACCCTTCTTCTTTTTGTGCATCCTCTTTAACTTCCCACTGCTTCTTCATTCTCCTTTCTCCACAGGCTCTCAACACTATTGCTAGGGGTGAAGAATTATCTCCTTCCAGCTAGTTTTCCAATAACTTCAAAAAGGAATTAAGGTGAGTTAAAGTTGAGTTTTGAAAGGTATATGTGTAGAACATATACCTATTTTAAAAGTAACTGTTTTCATCCTTCTTTTTTTCCTTTCCCAGGCTGAAATAACCTCTTTCTGGCCAGAAAGCTGGTGAGCCTTTAATTTAAGATATACTTTTTCACTTGGTGATAAATTCAAGATATTCTGATGAACCTAATTCTCCTCAATAATATTAATTTTATAACAAAAGAACTGTGCTAATATCAGATTTTTTGCTTGACACCTGTTTAAGTTGGAGCTGAAAGAAGAATCAACTCTGTGTCTCTTGAGTACATGTTGCATTTAACCACAAAAAAATGTAAGGGCATCATTTGTCAAACTTGTACAACAGTGAACAGTGCATAGGGAAATGAAACAACCCTTGGTAACTCCTGACAGAGAAATAACTGTGTGTACAACTACAATTTGATCTGTGTTTGGCTTACATTTTTCTCAAGTTGAGGAAAAAGGCCATGCTACCTTCAGTGCATCAGCAGAACAGGAAACTGCCTTCAAAATATCATTCACAGAGGTGCTGAATACCACTTGAGCTCAAGCATACATAATTTTGATCAGTTCAGGAGGATTTGGTGTATTAGCTCACATTGCTTTGTAGTTCTAAAGAAAATATAAGTGTGATGTCTAAGCTAGCAATGTGATGGCAGGACCCAGTTCTTCTTTTCTGACAATACAAAAGCAACTAATTATCCTCCTTGGAATTCATTAACCTTGCTAAATCTTCAGCAGAGACAGATCTTAAAACACTTCATTCTGAAAATCAAACTTTATCCACAGTTGGTAGAAGAGGATTTGTATGAAAATGCCCATACAATTTTAACCAAAGCTGCTATCACTGCTGCTTCTTGTACACCACAGTCCCAGCTCAGTGTCAGAGCAGAACCTCAGAAAGGTGACATCCACCTCCATCCATAGATATACATAACCCCACTAATAACCACTCACTTTGCCAGTACTGTAATAAATCAGATTTGCTCAAAACCTTAAGGACACCAACTGCAATGACAGACCCACAGTACTCACTAATTTGAAAAGCTCCATACCAAGTATATTCTAAATAACACAAGGTTTTGTCCATAGGTTGGGAGATGCCTCACGATGGATAAAGCCATTCAGCACCCCAGTGAGATCCTGTCCAATCAAACTGTCTCTAACTTTAGCTTTTCTCAGTTTTTGAACTTTGACACATGCCAGCTTTCCTTCCTTGCAGAGTTCTTGCTTATCTCAGCTTACACCGTAGTTTTACTGGTGGGGCTTTTTGGAAATCTTTGCTTGATTATTATAATAAAGAGACGGAAAGAAGCTCAAAATGTTACCAACATTTTGATTGCCAACCTCTCTATATCAGATGTCTTGATCTGTATCATGTGTATTCCTGTCACAGTTGCATACACCTTAATGGACCACTGGATATTTGGGGAAGCAATGTGTAAAATGGGTTCTTTCGTACAAAGTTTATCTGTCTCAGTCTCCATTTTCTCACTTGTACTCATTGCTGTTGAGAGGTACCAGTTAATTGTGAACCCACGTGGCTGGAAGCCTAATATTTCACATGCTTACTGGGGGATTCTTCTCATCTGGGCGCTTTCCCTCGTGATATCCCTTCCTTTTTTAATATTTCACCAATTAACAGATGAGCCCTTCAAACACCTGTCTTTCCACAGTGATTTCTACAAGAACAAGGTTGCTTGCATCGAAGCATGGCCATCTCTTACAGAGAGACTGATTTTCACCACCAGCCTGCTGGTTTTCCAGTACTGCTTCCCACTGGGGTTTATTTTTATCTGCTACCTCAGGATATTTGTGTGTCTTCGAAGGAGACGCTTTAAAATAGACAGGATGAGAGAGAACGAGAGCAGGCTGGGTGAAAGCAAAAGGATTAATGTGATGCTGGTATCAATTGTTGTGACTTTTGCAGCTTGCTGGCTGCCTCTCAATATATTCAATGTGGTTTTTGACTGGAACTACGAGGCACTAATGAGCTGCAATCACAACCTGGCATTTACCATCTGCCACCTCGTGGCCATGATCTCAACGTGTATCAACCCCATCTTCTATGGATTTCTGAACAGGAACTTTCAGAAGGATTTGATAGTATTAGCTCACCACTGCAGATGCTCAGCATCACAGGAGGAATATGAAAATATTGCCCTTTCAAATCTGCAAACTGATGCATCTAAAGGGTCTCTGAAATTAAATAATCCCCATGTGGACATATAAAATAATCCAACAGCAGTTTCCAAAATTTTGTATTTCGTTGCAGATGGCCTCTTTTCTGTAGGTCTTGGTCATGTTACCATCAAGTTTAGAGGAAATTTTTACATTTAATTCAGCCAAATCAGGATTATGCTTCCATAGGCATACTCTTAAAGGTACTTAATGATAGTGTTAATGCTAATAAACCACTTCCAAGAGTCATAAAGATCAATAATAAGGAATTATAAACAGTATTAACATCTTACTTTTTTAATCCACAGTTTCAAAGTCACTGGCATCCAACCTTGGCTCCAAAAAATCATTTCCATTTCAGCCACTGATGGAATGTCCTCCCTGAACACCAGCTTCCCCCAAGTAAACCCTGAATGCTGTGGTGTTCCTAACTTCAGCAGCCTTTCTCACAGTTTTCTGGCCTTTTGATTTTCCTGCCCTACACTGATCCCAGCCCTGGTTAACCTGCAGGTTACAGGCAGTTCACACTGTAAGGAAGGCCCCTGAATTTATCCTAAGCTTCCATCACCTTCCTTTCAGCCCCAGCATGCAGTTTGTTTTGGTTTAGTACCAGCCCAGCCCAGAAATCGTATTTTAACAAGGGAAAAGGCTAGAGTTGGAATTCTATCTTTTTTTTTATGAGCACTAAAGCAGTTGAAAACTTGATTTGCTGCAAAGATGTCTTCACTGAGATTGCTCTTGCTGTTCAAGATGAAATACATATTTAGCATTTCTCCTAAAAGCATTGCATTCTCCAAACCACCAGCACAGATCATTGCTTTTGCTCGTACCATCACCACTGGTCCCTACAATAGACCTTTTAGAATCTCCATTATCAGACAAACACTATGAATTTAGAGTAAATTTTGTTTTAGCTACTTACCCAGATTTCTCTTTGAGTAGAAAATTAGGTCTGCATCTTCATTGCAGCAATATCTTTCTCCACATTTCTGCACTAGCACGAGGCCACACTTGAGCAGATGTGGTCATTTCTGTCCAGCCATGTTTGCAAATAGTTTCTTTTGTAGCACAGAGCAGAGAAGCCTAAAGGTGTAATATTGAACACAACTCTTCTCAGATCAAAACATTTTAAAAATCGCTTTCCAGTGTGGCCATAAAAAAATAACCAGACTTATTTGTCATCCATGCTACAGTGATAACATAAGTAATCAGTTTATATTGGGCTATTTAAATACAATTCTTGGAACAATTTAGTCCAACAACTCACCTTGCTTCCTCTTGTTCAAGTGAAATATAATTAATTACTTCTATTGCTAAAGTCCTTTCTTCTTCTGAGTTTTTTAAAACCCTTGTTTTAACACTTGCACATAAAATTCCTTGCAATGTATTCCCTAACTTTAGCAATTTACCAGTGCCCCACTTAAAAGAATTAACATTTATATTACAGTGAGCTCCTTGCTGATTCAGCTGTGATGAAACTTACCTTAAGGCCACAAAATTCTCTTGGAGAGGGACCATCATTTTCCATAGTCAAGCAGTTCTTAAAGGATTCCTTCAGGCCACAGTGCTCTCGCTGCAGCATCGGTTTGGACTGGCTGCATCACTCTGCTCATCAGAGCAGCTCTGTGAGAGGAGCCTCACCAGCTCTTGCAGATACTCTGGAATATTAAGTGCCCCCTGATTCACCCTGAGTAAAAAGACCTCGTTGAAATCCATCAGTGTCTGAGCCCACAGAAGTCCTAAGGTCAGCCCTACTCACTGGAGCAAGAAAGGCAGAATTAGCAACACAGTAATCAAGTATCTGAGTGACAGCTACGGATTAGTTTTGGCATCATTTAGTATTTTTTTCTAATTAGATCCAATATCACACATGTGCACTGAAGTGTATAAACCATAACTTAAATATCTGCCTTGAAAAGAAACCAGGAGACAGATAAATACCTAATAAAGGCCAATGATCAGACTGATAAGAGTATCTTAGGGTCAATTAGTTCCATTAATGCCACCCCTCGGTCACTGGGCTCCCTCTGTTGCTGGTTTACACCATCTGCTTGTTCAGCAAACGGGTTTTTAACCAAGGTAAAAGCAGCAACTTGCAGTCGATGACACTGTGACCACACCATGCACAGCCCGAGGGGGTGGTGTGTGCTTTGGTGAGGGGGAGCTGATGGAGCTCGTTCTCTCATCAGTGAGACTCCAGGGTAATAATGGGGGTCACTGTCTTCGTTGCACTTGCTTAAATGAGAGCAAACCTGATCCAGGAACTTCACTTTTCTTGGAGATTCCAGTGCCTGTACAGAAAGTCACCTAATACTGCCAGAAGACCATTCACTGAACAGATCATTTTAACAAATCCTGGTGGCATTCCTGCAAAAGGCTGGGCTATCAGCTGGATTTCCCTGAGTCTGGAACACAGATCTCTCTGTCTTCCTCATATTTAAGCACAGTTTACAGCTTCAGGGCCCATGCTGAAAGCAATCTACAAGCACAGGACATTCACAGTTTAATTTATTAATATTGGCACAACAGTTCAGATTACTCTCAGTTCTCACAGAAGTGTCTCAGACAGTATTTGGAGTTTGACTCAGGCTCAGCTGAGATTCCCACGTATGAACTTGGCTTAAGTGGCTCCCATACCAGCATTCCCATCCCTTAGGCACACCCAAGTGTGCTTAGTTTTATAGCAGAGGTGGTTTTAGTATCACATCCCAAGTGCTTTAAACACAGCCACAAAATTAACACTGGTTTAAATTAAGTGATGCTGATGGACGGTCTCCCTTTACTGTCTCTCCCTAGAAGTGCTTGGGCAGTGCATCAGACAGGCACAAAAAAGATTGCCACTGCTTTTTGTAACACCATCCTGATCAAACTTAAGCAATCAATTTTTCCTTCCAGTCTGAATCTTGGCATAAGAAGGTTCTTCATTAGCAAGTGGCAGCATTCCCAGCAGTGACTTCCTCAGAATCAAATGTGAACAATCATACTTGTGCCTTGATTTCTTCTTCTCATTTCTTCCTCTCACTTTCATTTGACTCAAGTGCTGATGCTCCATTTCTGTCCTGAGCAGTTATCAAGTATCTCTTCTTGATGCTGCATTTATAAAAATCATTGTTAACTGAACAGAGGATCATCACAGTCCTGAAGACTCTCAGTACATCCAGTGGCTTCGTGTGCATCCTGATACTGAATTTCCAGGCAAGTCAGTAGGAGTGAGATGACTTTGACAGGAATAGGAACAAAGAAGAGTTGCTTGTTTTTAAAGCATAAGTATTATGGACTCCAGCATGGTGTGTGATATATGTAACTGCAATATGCAATGCCTAAAGATGGCTCAAGTTAAACTGGTAAATGTTGCCCTGTGTTGGGTAATGTTGATAACTTTATTTCCTCTCTTTGTACTGATATAGCAAGTAGACAAAATTCTAACAGCCTTTCTCACCAGAGAGTTGTTCCTTAATCACAGAATCATGGAATATTCTGAGTTGGAAGGGACCCACAAGGATCATCAAGTCCCAGCTGGAGGACTGTGAGTTTCCTCAGAGGAGCAGCAACATGGATTTAATTATTGAAAACTAGAGGGGGAACCTGAACTCCCAAATGCTATCCCAATGTACAAACAAATTCTTGGGTTGTCTTTTTTTTTTTTTTTTAAGTGCATCAGAGTTTTGTTCAAGTGGTTCAAGTTGTGTAGACCAGACTAATATATTTATAAACATCCTTGTAAATGAACATACCCTTACCTGTCTGTGTATTTTATGGTTGATTGGTTTAACTGTAAGCACATATAACTAGGGTTAGATACTTGGGAACTGGCATTCATTGTGGAAATGATTCTGCTGAGCAGAGAGATCAACTGATTATTGACTGTAATTCTGTCTGTGACAAAGGCAGTGCCAGTGCTGTGTGTGATTTAAAGACTTTGATTGCTCCCATCGGCTGACAAATAAATATTACCCTGTGTAAAACTGCCTGGTGAATTGTACTGTCTGTGACAGGGGTAGGACAGTTCTCATGTGCCCAAAGGCCAAGAATCACCAAGAGGTCAAAGAAAAATGGAAAGCCTGCTGCAGATGGAAAGAGTGGCCACAGAGCAGATAAAACACAGCTCAAGGGCACAAAGGCACTCGGGAGGGGACTTGACCAGAGCACAGATGTCAGGAGGGAGCTGCTGACACACTGGAGGCAAAGGAGATGGAGGAGAGGACACAAAGACTGCTCTGAGGAAGAGGGATGACCTGCAGAGATGCCCTGGCAAACCCAGAGGGGTACAAATTACACTCCAGAGACACCACTGTGCCAAGGTGACCCTTTAAAGCGTCTGGATGAACCAAGAGGAGAGACATAAAAAATAAAAGACACAATGAAAAATTAAAAAGCAACAGGGTATGTGACAAACAAGAAAAAAAAAAATTTAAAATGGCCAGCTTGATGAAAGGAGAGAGAAAATTTAAAAGCTGAGGGGTACAAGGCAGAGGAGAAAAAAAATTAAAATAGGGAGAGAAAAATAGATAAAAGTAGATACAGAAAAACAATTCAAAATGAGAGGAGAGCAAATCTAGAGCAAAGCTTTGAGAAACCTCACAATGAAAGGTCAGATGGACAGCAGATGTACTTAGTGGAACCTGATAGACTCCATAAATACAAAACTGTCCTTTCAATTCTATGCTAATACGACACTTAGAAATATTCCACAATGGCAACCTTAGAATTATCTTGTCTGGTATCACTCATTTTTGAACAAGGTTCCTTTGGTTTCCATGCAAATGCACTGACTGATGCCTTTTATTTTATTTCATTTCATTTCATAGGCTTCTCCATTAGTCACAGGCTATTTACATAATGTGATGGAATTGGCACCTGTGTGGAGCTGTTCTCTGAGCAGAATTCACTTCAGCCTCAGGCCTAGTGAGGAAAACTTGTTAATTTGTGTAGATGTCAGGGCTGTAACAGCTCCATGAATTAGTTCTTCCAGCCAGGAATGGCTACGAGAGTCACAGGACGCTCTCAAAATTTGGGTTCCCTCTAAAGAGACTCTCTCAAACCCCCTTGTCAGCTCCTTTGTTAGGCTGGAGGCTTCTGCAGTGCTCAATTCCATGACTTCGGAGCTGCAGAGCCGGAGGAGGCTCCGGGAGGCCCAGATTTCCCAGGCACTCCTGCAGTGACTGCACAGCCTCCACCTCCACAGGCTCCCAGGGCACCCTTACATTTCCCAGCACATCCAAGTCTCTCCCATGCTCAGTACAGGCCAAGAGATTTTTCTGTTAACAAGCTACAAAAACACTACTTTGGGGACTAAAATCACTTGGATGGTGTAGTTGTGTCAGATGATTCCATGCTTTAATTTCTACCTCAAAGCCATCTTAGGATTTGCCATCATTACAACCATTAAAAGCCATCCCATGACTGTAGTCTAACCATATTCCCATATTTCCTCAAGTAGTTGTCCAATGGGAGCTGCTTAATCCACATCAGTGTGTTGGGTTTGGGGGTGGTGTTTGGGTTTTGTTTGCTTTTCAAATAAGTGTAATGACTCTTCTTACACATGAGATGTCAATCTAGGCAAGAATAAAATTCAATAAGCTTTGTGTAGATCAAAACAAGAAAGGAGATCCCAGAACAGTCTCTCCAAGCCAACTGTCCCATTCTTCTGGAATTTCCTCAACAAAACTATTTAGCTCTCCTCCCCTTTTACATAACTGCAGGAACCTGACAGCAACTACAGCCTTGCAGTCCTTACCCATTCCCATTGCCTCTTGGGCAGATCCCACTGCTGAAGGAGCTCTCTTTGGCTGCAGGATGAATGCCAAACAGCGTGGATTTTGGGGAAGAGGCTTGCCTCTGAAGGTGCAGGGAAGGAGCTGAACAGAACAGAGCCAAGACAAACACTCAGTGGAGCTCAGACCCTGGAAGATACTCAGGAAGACTCTGCAAGAAAATGGAGATACAGGTTACAAGCCTCAGAGTAGACTGTAACAGCATGTAAATATACACATATGTTTAACTCAACACACCAGCAGCTATCTGGGCTGTCAGAGAAAAAATTGTATTTGAGCATCGTGTCTTCACGGGACACTTTTACAGAGACAAAAAGGCACGGGGACCATTTCATATTTAACTTGCACAGGAGGGAAATCCACACACACACACTGCAAAGAGCAGGAGGAGCCTGGGACACTGGGCAGATCCAGCTGTTCTGCAGGATGGGCTCTGCACAGCCTCGCGGGGTGGCTCCAAGTTTATTCTCTTTTGAGGAGCTCCAAAGTAAAGGTCAGAGGGACCTCACCACACCCACAGGGTGAGGCTAATTATCCTCCTAAAGGATAATTAGCCGGCAAATAATCTCTTTTAAGATATCCAGGCCATTATTTCACTATTTGTAAAGAATATCTTTATCAGTCAACCCAGCAAGGCTGTCAGCATGGCATGATACCCTATCCAGCACACATTCACATCTGTGCATTTCAAGTGGCTTTAAGTCCCTTATTGCTTCCAGCTCTTTATTCCCAGACCTTTCTGACTGTGTGAGCAGGTCAAGTTCTCCCTTACACCAAATGCACTGTGCACTCCTGCCCTGAACAGAAATCAGACGTAAAGATCTCCTCCTTGGGACTGGTGTCTTTTGTCCTTCATAGCAACCAACACCAGACATGTCTCTCAGGCAGCCTGAGCTTCCTCCTCAAACTGGCTCTCAAGGTCTGTTGCCACAGGCACCGTCTGTCTCCAGCCTTTGTCTCGGCTGAGAGCACGGAAACACTCTCACACTCCACACTCCAGTGGCTTTGAAGCCATGTTAGTGACCATAAACATGATCCAGGAGAGCCAATTCTCCATCATCCACAACCTCTGAGTGCTGCAGAACCTGCCAACGAGGGTCAGATGCCCCACATTTTTCAGACAGAACCCCCAAAACCTAAGGCATACGAGGGCATAACCATCTTTTGAAGTGCTCTTTGTTAACTAAAACCAGCTCAAATTTTGCCTGTGTTTAGGCTTGCAAACAAAACCATCATCACACTGCACTGAATCACCAGCTGAAGTGAGAGAAGTCCTGTGATTGACCAGGAACAAGATTGCTGGTTTCTAATTAAAGATGAACTTGTGAGACTCCTTTAAAAACTGGCCACAGAGTTAGTATTGAATGCAAAAGCAAAATCCGAGTTGACTGAAAGGTCAGCAAACCCAGGGAGATAATTACTGCTTGATGTTCCAGGAAACCCAAGCTCTGACACTAAGTTTAAAAAAAGAAAAAAATGCCTTTGATGAACGATAACAAAAACTTTCTTTCTTCCCGTCACCATCATGCAAACAGATCAGGCATGGAGATACTGAGGGCATTATGCAAGAAAATTGTGGGCAAGTATCCTGTTAAACCTCACATCTCTATTCACTGAAATACACAAAAAATCAAATATTTCAAGGGAAAAGTGATTTTTTTGTGTTAGTATGATTTGATTTGCTGACGAATCAATTTTCAGAGCTGATGAACCTTTGCTTTGAGCACTTGCCTCTTTCTAAAGGAAAATATACAGTGTACTAAGATTTTAGGAGTCCTCAAGTCACATTGAAAGGCTGAGGTGAGGGTTAAAATACTTTCAGTGTGTTTTTGCAGGGAGGAGACCTGCAGCAGCTTTACAAAAAGTATCTGAGAGTAGCAAAAGCAAGTTATGAGCAGAAATAAATTACAAACAAAGAAAAATTATGAACAAATTAATATAATCAAGGGTTACTGTACATCTGCTGCTAAGAAATAATAGCTGCTTTTTGTTTTCTCGAAAAAGCTAAAATAACTCAGCTGCTAGCTTAATAATTAAGTAGAATTTAAAACTGTACAGAATGACTGAACTGTTGAGGACAGGAAGGGGCCTCTTGAGATCATCGAGTCTCACCCCCCCCTTGCTCCATAAGATAAAATGCATTTTCTGAAGCATAATCATAAATTTACCTAATTAAAACTTCACCAGAAGGTTGCTCCTGGGACAGCTGGCCATGGAGGGGCCATGTGGGTGTCACACCAGCAGTGCTGGCACATCACTGAACCACTGCTGGCCCTGCTGGGAAGCTGGTGCTGCTCCAGTTCAGGATCTCCCCAATCCGGGGGAGTTTTTCTTTTTCTCTTTTTCTTTTGTTCACATTGCTGACAAACTGGGAGCTGGAGTCTCTCAGAAAAACCAAAATCCCCCAGTGGGGGCCACTTCAGCTGGCAGCAGGAAGGCAGAGGTGAGCAGGCGTGCTGTGGAGCTGCTGATGAAGCAGGCAGGAGCCTGGTATGTCTGGGCAGGTGTGCAAGCAAAACGTAATTTATTTTTTTTTCCCAATTTTTTTTCACCCAGCAGACCCAACCAGGGCTGAAATCAATAGAAATTAAGTTTCCTGCCCATTTCATCTGTGGGGTCCTGATGGGTTGAGAAGCAAATATTTCAGCACGTGGTACAGATAGAGAAAAAGAGACCACCAGAATCCAGAGATCCTGCAAATTACTGCCATCTCCTTTTTATGTGAAACATACCTAGAGGATGCTTGTCATATTTGATCTTCATGAATGTGTGTCAACCTTTTATGCTGACTTCATTAGTTTTACCTTGGGAGCAATTGAGCTGGTCCCCGAGGCAGGTATTGCTCACATGCCACCTTTACCAATCAGATTAGCACCGTGTTTACTCTGAAAGCTGAAGCCTTGGTGCTCAGCACTGAAATGAGATCTCCTGAGCAGAGCACACAGCCAGGCCCCCAGCTCCAGCCCTGTCTTGGAGAGGACCGTGCTCACCATATGGTGCTCCTGCTACTCCTGTGCTATTTCTGGCTTCCAACACTGGAATTGTGACGGAAAGATTTAAAAAGAAGGCTTTGATCCTGCCAAGACGTCTGCTCACCACACCACAGACCTTTTTTCTGGTAGTTGAACTGTGCTGTGCACCCTTCAGCTGATCCCTCCATATTACAGGTTCACATTCCTTAGACCTCCTTTTACCCACATGGTTTTTCCCTCCTGCTCCTCTTGCAAACCTGTGTGCCTGGATTTGGATGTGCTTTGACTCTGACATCATTTACCCCGATGCAAAGAAAGCAAACTTATACCCTAGGCGATGAAATGAGTCCTTCAGTCCTTGAAAACCTCCTTCCACCGTTTACCCAACACTCACCATCAGCACAAGGTGCCATTTCTGCAGCACAGACAGACACAGACAGACAGACAGACATCCTGAGGACCAGCCAGTCCTGTGCCCATCACCCCTGCCCACCCCTCTGGGCACAGCTTCCACATAAAGCCCAATGGAAAACCAGGTACTGACAGCTCTTTTTTAACTAAAGGTGCCCACATCCCAGTGTCAGCTTTAGGTAACACTGAAAATCAAATAACAGTTAACTTATTTTCTAGATAAATTACTCTGAAGACTTTTTGGTAGACCAAACACTCCTTTCAAAGCGAATGATTAGGGCTGTATAAAACCCATTCTTTTTACTCTACTGCTCAGCATTTAGGTTAATCTCCTGACTAGTTTTAACATCTCAGCAGTCATCCTCCTGGAAAAATGAACACTCTTGCAGTCCTAGTCAAAAAGCCTTGAAAGGCTCCAGAATTCTCAGGGGGTGACAGAGGTACAAAGAAATCTCCTTCTCACAGCGAGGAACCTTCTTAAATCCTCCCGGCTGCAGCCAAGACAAATCTGGCTCACTCAGCACTCACTTCATGCACTGAGTACCTCAAAAACGAGCCATTTGGTGTGCAGGATCAAAGGTAGGAAATGTGTCATTGTCTGGGATGGTTCTGGAGACAGGAAGGTTTCACCCAGGGTGAGTTTCCAAAAGACTTACAGGAAATGGGTTACTCCTGTCTCAAAGCTCGTCACCCGTTTCTAGAATCCTCTGGTGCTCAGCTCGTTCTACCTGGATTTTCAGTTTCTCTCTCCCTCCTCCTCTCTACCACTCCCTGACTTAGTGGGAAACAGCAGAGGTGACATTTCTCACAGGATTTTGCAAGAACATCTACATGATGCAACAACACAGCACCAGGATTTTTAACAACCTGTAATTCAGGTTAACCAATCGGGACAATGAAAATCAAAGGTTTGATTTCGGAGGGAAAAAAAAAAAACCAAACAAACAAGAAATCCCATACAAAAACCAATCAGTTAAACAAACAAACAAAAAAAGCCAGCCCAAACCAAAATAAAACACCAACAAACCTTGGAAATTTAGCAGCTGCAGTGTCTAGATCAAACACGTTGTTTCTGTTCACTGAGGTGATTTTTTTAATGAAAAAGTAACAACTACAGAGCAATGGGAATGAAAGGTCAGGCTTTGGCACCATTAATCAAGCCATGGAATTTTTACTAGCATCATCCCTGAACACTGAGCTACCAAATGCTAGACTCATCTTTTTCCTTCCTGGAGATTTTGGCAGTACTGTGCTTTCCACAGCCCACCTGAGGCACTCAGGAGACACTGGACCTGCAGCACAGCAGCTGTACAGGAATTCCTAAAAGACATTTTCCACCTTTACCTCTGCAGAGGGGAGGCCCACATCAGCCAAGGAATCTTCCCTGCCAGTATCAGTCCACCACTTCCACTAACCAAAATCCAAGTCCACACACACGTTCTCTTAGCCTGGTTGCACCTGTAGTATCAGGGCTGGGTTGGTGCAGCTACATCAGCTGGAAGTCTCCAGTTGGGACCAACACCCTTGCAATCTCGAGCTACCAAAACCCAGCCACAGAAACCCAACACAATGAGCTTAAAATTTCTGAGGGGAGTCAGTGTACTGCCAGCACAATAAGTCAACTTTTCCTGCTCAAGCCTTTTGCTCTTTAAATACTTTTTAAAAGTGAAGTTGTTGGATATCACAAAGAATACATGTTGGCGGATCAATTCCCTCATTTTAAGCATAGCAAAAGGTCAGGACAAACTCAGCTCTAGATCCCTGCCCA